AACGTGGGAAACAAGGTTATGTTTTTTTTTGTGTTGGTGGCTTTTATGTTGGGTTGTTGTTGTTGTTGTTGTTGTTGTTGTTGTTGTTGTTGTTGTTGTTGTTTTGTCTTTCTTTATTTTGTTTTTTAAAGAGTTTTATGGCACTTGGAAAACAATTAAGCCATATACCATTTCGTAAATGTCGAAGATTAGAAGTGTTACAAGAGAGTAACAATTACAAAAATAAGGAGGAAAGGTGAAAGCAATAGATGATTGATATCGTGATAGGAAAGAAGGAACGAACCACAACAGAGTACCCGCCAACCACCCACTAAACTAGTTTCAGTCTGTCTCTTTTGAAGCTTAACTCTTACAAGTCGTAAGCACAGTCCCTGCTTTGTTGCACAAAGTCTATTTAAAAATGTGTATGTCAACGTTAACATTTCCAGCGTAAAAATATAGAAGTTACAAGAATACATTAAACCCATCAAATGTTAAGTAAAATAATTAAGATTTAGTTTATGGAGATACAGCTGTAGTACAGACTAGTAGATATTTCTGATTAATGGAGAAAACAAGAAAGAACAATAAAGCCGCATCTATCTGGTAGACTTGCCCACTTGTAAGAATTAGAGAGCCCATCTTGGTGTCTCGCTAGTCTAGGTTTGTGTTTCCCTAATATGCGACCCATAATTTAGTTGCGTTAGTAAATGAGCGTCATAAGATAAGATAAGATAAGATAAGATAAGATACGATACTATAAGATAAGATAAGATAAGACAAGACGAGATAAGATAAGATAAGATAAGACAAGATAAGATAAGATAAGATAAGACAATCTTTATCAACCCAAGAGAAAATTTTGATGGATGTACCTGAATACGTAAAATGTTGCATGTCTTGCATCATCTTGGAGACAGATATAAGGGGAAGAAATGATGGCTCTCATAACAATAATAACAACTTGCTCTGTATGATTTCTGGGCAGTCCAGATTATTTCCGAATGCTATCGGGTGTGCTGATGGTAATAATATGTGAGGCAGTGTGGTGGAATCAGGCTCTCGTCAAAATAATGAAATCGAAGAAAACAGCAGTTTTCTCCCTGCTTAGCAATTTTTATCAAATTTTTGTTTTTTGGCTCGACACCTTTAATGTCCATTTACAAACACATTCCTTTGAGGATATCACCGACTACGTTGATTAAAGGCACAAACATATAAATTTACAGTTTCTATGGAGTCTCCAGCTCTGGAATTTACCAAGTTTGGCGGCCATTTTCTCGCTAGTTTTACCTCTTAAACCAGGTGACCCCCACCTCCTTCAATCCAAAATATTTCCACTTCTATTGAAGATTTTTTCATTGAAAGCAAGACAAATGAACAAGCCTTAAGATGATACTAATAACTCAATATGCCCCAAAATTGACGAGAGCCTGATTCCACCACGCTGCCTCACATGTGGATTGTACTATTCAAAGAGCTTTTATTTTTTTAAACAGGAATGTGTATATACATTTTTAAAACTAATTTTAGGCAGAACATGGTAGTAGACCAATTAGCCTTTCCTAATCCATGTACTTACACTGACGCCGATGAGCACGAAAGCAGACACACACAGGACGGTCTTCAGCATGATTGTTGGTGTTTGGTTGTGACTTGCAATGTATGTGGCCACCGGAGTATTTATAGGCCTACAAAGTCAACTACGATTATCCTAACGAATCTATTCTTTGCAGAACACAAAAGCAAATATTTGTACAGGCTGCTTACATCCAATATCTGAGAGTGTTTTCTCGATATAAATCCAATACTTTCTCCCCCCAAAAAGACCCAAAATGATCGATTGAATAAACATCGCTCCTCGCTGAAAAGTTAGACAGACGTGTGGTGTCACAAAAGAGGTCTATGCTTCCCGATATTACCCTCAACAGTGTTGGAAAACCAAGAAAACCTAATAATCAAAAGCAATGTCTTTCGAAGGTTTTAAACAGGGTACTTCACCTATTTAAGGACACCCTTTTTACACTGATTACATTGAAAACGTGTCAAGGTGACTTTGTGATATACAAGCTAATACAGTTTTGCCCTTTTTCTGACAACGGATAAAAATAACAGGTCAGCACCGTGGCGATTTCAAAACAGAAAGTGGCCCACTAAGGATTTATGTCTCCGAACACGTCATTGACTTCATCCGAGAAACATCTTCCACCCCATCCCCCCACCACAACTCCATACCACCCACTGCTTCCTTATTTTAAAACGTGGATTGAAAAGTTAAAAACAAACAAATTCAAGCAACAACAAATCTTAGTATAAAATAAACATCTTGTGTTCTGCCAGGAACATAATCCGGGAAAGTATTTCAGAATATGGGAGACATTAAATTTTGTTATTCTCTTTTAAATTTTGTTCTTACGAATTCTTAACCTCAGTTGAACCAAAAGATATACATCGGCCTATTACCACCAGCCATGTCACCGAATATTATTCTTTGCGAATATCCTAAACTGAGAATACTTTACCTAGAAATACTAAATTTTAAACCAAATCCTCACTCTGGTTCCAAATTTCTAATCTTTAAACCCTAGCTGCAACCCTTAATTAAACTACGTGCGTGAGTTGGAGGAAAAAAAAACGTACCACGAACTAATAATTGTTGACTTGAGACTTGACCGAAACTCCCGGCAAAGTAACCGACAGAAACAGGTCTTCGTAAAACTGTACAGGTACGTAACTTTCGCTGGCCGGGTGAGACCACGCTTTACGACTGTAGCTGTTGTACTTAATGATCTTCGTTGTACCAAGACATATTTCTGACGACTTGTATAATCTAGTTTTATGTTCTCTACAGAAGGGATATCAAATTCACTGGCCCATGAGACCAAACTCAATTAATGACCCTTCAGATTGCGGATCAGACTGGATACACGATCATTGAGCAATGGAAAAAATAATGTCTTTATAAAAAGAGTAATACGCATTTTTTGTTTGTTTATTTGTTTGTTCGTTTGTTTATTTGTTTGTTTCTTTGCTTGTTTGTTTGTTTGAGAAAAGAGACGCATATTAATGGTTATTTAGCCCTGGGGGAAAAGTCCAGACAGACAGAAGGAAACAACAGAAGGAACGTACAGAAATAGGACCCACGAGGGCGTTCTCCTACCACCCGCTAATATAAGTTGAAACTGAAACAGACATAAGTTAGAATACATGCAAAAATAAGACATACCGATTTCTGCTTTAATGCCAATTTGTCACTGCTGGGTAATAACAATAACGTTTATTATATGGTTGATACTGTTTCCGCTCTTGTCAATGTACGATATCGCTCCACCTTGCGTTACTCTATCTTCATCATTATTCGATATTCAATATAAATCAGAGCTCCATCATCACCATTGCTGCATTATTCGATATTCAA